GTGGTGCTGGGGGATCGAACCGCGGTCCCTGTGCTTTGCCAAGCTTGTTTCAAGTAGGTGCTTTAGACCACTGAGCCATCTCTCCAGCCCCTCTAACCCACTTTTCTTCCTTTGTTCCCCTACTTTCTTAGGTAGCCATCCCTTCTGGTCTCTTCACTTCCCATTCCCTGGAAGTGCCATGCCATATAATCCTTATTCTTGTGATGATCACAGAGGAATTCCAGGTTGCTAACTTGAATGAATACTGTGTAGGAAGGGTGCTGGAGATTGAATTCAATGGTTTATGCTGGGCAAGTGCCCTACCACTGAAATACGTATGAAGCCCTTAAATGAAAACTTTTTAGTCATCATTTCCTCCCTGAAACTCTTCTTTTTTTGGTACTGGGAATTGCACTCAGGACCTTGCACTTGCCAGGCAGGTGCCTGTGCCACTGACGTATGTCACTGGCCCAGGTTTCCTTACTTTATTCTAAAGTTTCCCTCTTCTCTGACAGCTTACGTTTCACTGGTGTTGCTCCTCTTCTTCCTAGTCATTATATTAACAAACTATGGGGCTTAATTCTTATTCAACATTCTCCCTACTTAATGGACTGCTTTAATGATTACTTAAGAGCTTCTAACTCCCAAATCTACCCATACTGCTATACAGACTCATGTACTTATTATTAACCTAATACTTCAAGCCCAACACACTAGGCTGGGCATAGTGGTACAGGTCTATTATCCCAACATTTAGGAGGCTGAGGCAGGAGTTTGAGTCCACTTTAAACTATACAGCAAGGCCCTGTCTTTTTTTTTTTTTTTTTTGGCTGGCTCAAGTTGCCATGAAGGCAGGTCTGATGCAGCTCGTAGAGCTAGAGACTGAACCGCGGTCCCCTGTCCTGAGTTTGCCCAAGTAGGTGCTTTAAACAACTGAGCTAGGGGCTGGGGAGATAGCTCAGTAGAATAAGCACTTGCCTAACAAGCACAAGGGCCTGAGTTCAATCCCCAGTTCCAACAAAACAAAACTGAGCTAAGGTGCAAGCCCCCAAGGCCCTGTCTCAAAGCACAAACAAAAAAACCCCTAACACATTCAAAATTAAGGTTATGCTCTTGCCTTCCTACTTCATGTCCCAATCATCTTTTTCATTTATAATTTCACTCCTAGGCCAGTAAATGGTATCCAGCAAATTGCTTTAGTTACTCCAGAACAGCTGTTAAATCCTCCATTTCTATCTTTGTATCACCACTCTAATGCAGGTCACCATGAGAACACAATAGGTTATCAAAATAGACTCCTAACATATCTGTGGTATCTACCCTTGCTCCCTCCAATTCATGTTCCAAAAGATAACTGGAGGGATCGTCTTTAAAACTCAAAGTCAGGTTAACTCATTCATTTTTTAAACAATCTTTGTTTTGTTTTGATTTTGAGACAGGCCTGGCTTCATTGCCCAGTTAGCTCTAGTGTGTTGTCTCAAACTCCTGGCTTGAGTGATTTTTTTACCTCAGCCTCCCAAGTGGCTTGGGACTACAGAGTCACTGGGACTACAGTATCACTAGGCCAGGCTTGGTTTAAAACTAATTTCCTTTCCCCCACAGACAATGCTGGAATTACCTAACAGGCCAGTGTGCGCCTGGTAAAACTATTTTCAGTATTTTTACCATACCTGGCTAAACCCAGTTTTAAATTGGGCTCGTGGAATAAAGGTCTATAAAGGCCCTCATGATTTGGCCTCTGTTTATCTTTCGTTACTTGTATTTCAATATTCAAAACGTGACAAGTCAAGTGGCCTGAAGGAAGGCAAAGGAATGAATAATATAAATATTAAGTGTTGCTCAGTGGCACAGTGGGGTCGTGAGTTCCACTCCCAGTACCAAAAACCAACCAACCAAACAAACAAGCAAGTATTAAGTGATTTATCAGCAGTTTGTTTACTTCAGCCAAATTAGCCATTTCTATGAACCATAATTTTTTTTTTTCCTCTTCTGGATTTTTAACAAATTAAAATTTTCTTCTATCTGAAACGTCCACCCTGCACACCCATGTCCCCATTTTTTTTCTGGTTAACTCCAACTCCTGCAGTTTGTAAGATTTGTAGGATGAAGAGACGATCCCTTATCATTCAGGCAGCAGGAGGTAACCTTAGAGGTAACTTCCTCAAGGGAAGCCTTCCCTCCCATTATTTCCTTTCATGTACAATAACTTCCAGTTCTTAACTTCAACCGAAAAGGTTTGGGCTATAGGTCATTTTTAACCTTTGATCATCTCCATACCAGCTCTGGGAGGGCAAGCCCTGACCCATCCCCGGCACCTAGAACCCGCGTCCGGCACACAAATAGGTTGGAATCCTGGATTCAAAGACTGGTACCGACGGGGGTAAGCGCACACAAGAGATGAGCCCGCTGTGATTTCTGTGGCACGTAGGGAAAGGCTGCTTGACGGACCGATTGACCAAACAGTAGCGAGAACTAGTTTCTTCAGAATTGCCCCGGAGCAGGCCCACACACTCAGGACCGGGTAGGACCACTGGACCCACAGTTCCTAGTTCCCAACCGCACATTCCAACCTTGAGGCCCAACCTGCAAGTTCCGGGTGATAAGCTGCAGTTTTTCTTCCGGGCTGGGAGCATCCCCCATGTCTCCGTCACCCCTACTTCCCGCACTCGACCGGCACCCGCGCCCCTTCCTCTGTCGCCGCCGCCGCCGCGTGCCGGGAACTGTCACGCGAGTCCCGTCAGGTTGCATCAGCTAAGTTCGTCACTCGGCTTACTCGGCCTAGACCCTTTGCCTAGCAGTAGCTAGGAGAGAGTCAAAAGCAACGGAGAGTAGAGCAGGTCGATGAAACGGGAAGGGGCGGAGCTAGCAGGTAGAGTAGGCGGTGCGGAGGGCGGGGCTGAGGCGTCTGCGCGGGGCGTATTTCCCCTAGGGGCGGGGCGGCTTCTTGCCAATCATTGCCTCTCTGCCCTCCTCCTGGCGTTGGCCCGGCTGCCTCGGGGTGGGGGAGGTCTGGGAGGGGGCGATAAAATGGCGCAGGGGGCGGAGTGAGGCGCAGTCGTTCGCCCAGGCTTTGGCCCGGCTTCCGGAGGTGAAGAGCGGGAGGGACACACGGTCGGCGTTCGTCGGCTGGGCGGGGGTTGGGGGCGCCTGTTGCTTCTCTAGGGGATTGCGCGCCCCGTACGTCCCGTTCAGGGATAGGGAGGCCCTGGCTCTGGTGGGAGAAGGGCTGGTTCTCGTCCCTGAGGTGGTGACTGGGGGGGGGAGTGTCCTTGCCCCCCCTTCCAAGTCGGCGGTCCAGAGATACCCCTCACCCTACTGAGGAAAAGGAAAAGGGAGGCTGTCTGGTCATTGAGAGGCCGGGAGTGCTATCCGCCGTCTCTGCCCAGTGGGGTAAGGGGGCGGGAGATGCTACTGCCCCAGCCCGCCGGCGGGATGATGTTACTAGGGAGAAGCGGGGTCGCGGGCCGGTGATGAGGGAGAGATGACTGTGTTCCTCAGGAGAAGGGCGTCCCTCCCGGGTCAGCCCAGGGGCCGGTGTGGCTCCCACGGGGGGAGGGGCGGGAAGGAAGCCCGCGGTTCTCCCACGTTCCACGAGGAGGCGGGAATTTTCGTCTCGCCGCGGGGAAGTGCAAAGGCCCTGGCCGAGGGCGGCGCCCCCTCGCGGCCGACACATTTCTGAAGGCGAGGTGGGGAAGGCCGAGCGCTGTCCTAGGCGAAGACCTGGGCCACCCTTCCTGCCGGTCATCAAGGAGGGTGAGGAGGGGAGGCAGTTGTCACCCCAGAGTGAGCCCCGAGGAGCCCCCTAAAGTGATTCAATTGCCCACCGGCTGCCCTAACCTATTGATAGCCAGGTTTTTTGTGTTGTAGGTACTCCAGGCTTCACTATACCTGTCTAAAAATTAAAAGCAAAAATTCCAAAACATCTTTTAAAAAAAGAAACCTGTTGCTGCAGCTTAGTGATACGTGCTCTCTATGCCCGTGTAGGAGGGGGAGTCCCTGGTACACTGATGCAGTGACATGTTAACCTAAACCTGAAATTTCTTGTCCTAGATGGTTTTCCCCCCTACAGTGTTTTCAGTTATCTCAAAGAGAGTTGCAAATTCTTTTTTTGTTTTTGTTCTGGGTTTTTTTGAGACAGGGTCTCCCTATGTAGTTCAGGCTAGACTGCAACTCGTGGTAATCTTCGTACCTCAGTCTCCTAAATGCTGGGATTACAGAGGCATGCCATTATACCCTGCTAAAATTCTTAGAAATAATTTCAGTTCACTTTGATTTTTTTTTTTTTTTAATTTGGGCCTGTTTTATGAGTGATAACAAGGCTCAACTATGTGCTTCATATATTTATTGTATTTCGGAGAGATTGGAAATCAAAGGCCAATGAGAAATCCTGTCCTTTGAGAAGAATCTTTATTATTATGGCTAACAGACCTAGCTAGCATGGTAATGGTTTTGTTTTTAGAACCTTGAAAGAGGATGTGGTGTTGCAGTTTTAGTGGCCTGAATAAAAAGGCTTTGTGCTATAAGGCAATAGGTTTTCTGAGGTAAGGTAAAAATAGAGAACCAGTTTCTGAGGTTGCAACCAGGAGGTTAGAGAACAGAGAGGGGGTGGTACACTGAAGTGCGAAGAAGGGGGTGGACAGGTGAGAGAGATGTGGAAGGACAGAATAGGGTCACACAGGGATGGGGAGAAGAATTATGATAGAATTGGGCAATAGGAAAAAATACTCTTCCCTTAAAAATAAAGGGGTCCTCATATTTTATGTAGTCTTACCAGGCAAATGTCAAAAGCAGATGGTGATACCATAGCAGAGAAGTAAACTAAAACTGCCCTCCAGAACTTCACTTCAGAGCTTCAATTTTATCTGAGGGGTTTCGTCCCTTGCAGTATCAGTTTTCATTGGCATACAGTTTTTAGATTTAGAGTGCTTTCATAAATATCCGCTTGGTTGATCCTTATTTGATCCAGCTAGCAGTATTTATTTTCCCTTTTTCAGATGAATATTTTCATCTGCATTATGGTTCAAAGATTTGAGTTGCCAAGGCCTCTGGAATTTAGTGAATGACTTTTTTTTATTTTGTTGTTGTTATTATTATTATTATTATTATTATTTGTCTTTTTGAGACAGGGTCTCCATAACAATCCTTCTGCCTCAGCCTCCTGAGTCCTGGGATTACAGGAGTGCACCACTATGCCTGGCAATTCTTTTGTCTTTCTGAGGAAGGGTTTCACTATGCGGTTTGTTTGTTTGTTTATTTATTTATTTATTTATTTATTTATGGTGGAACCAGGGATTGAACTCAAGCCCTTGTGCTTGTCAGAGAAGCGCTTATTCCACTGAGCCATCTCCCTGGCCCTTCACTATGCAGTTTAGGCTGGCCTTGAGCTCACTTTGTAGCCCAGACTGGTCTCAAACTCGCAACTATCCTCCTGCCCCAGCCTCCTGAATGCTGGGATGGAATTACAGGTGTGCACCACCATACCTGGCCCTTAGTCCATTGCTTTTATATAGGTTACTTCAGTACCATTAATTTGCAGAACTTTCCTGGTATTTCATTTGTCCATCCAGTCTGGTCTTTAATTAGAGATACTATGGTAGAATGCTGGGTTAAGTGACTACTTCCTTGAACGTTGGCTTACATAGAGCGTACTGGACAATTTCTTGAATCTTCAGGGTCTAGATACAGTGGTGGTGAACCTATGCTGTGGGTGTTACTTGTTTTTCTTTTAAGACAAAAGGTACTCGTGTGAGTTTTTCTATACTAAAAACCTTGGTATTCAGACTTAATTGCATTGTTGGCACTACAAATAGGTAGGTTTTGGAATGGGCACTTTAAAAGATGATAGGAGATGTTCCCTATCACTTTAGCACTCTTTTTTTCCCTTCCATTCTTATGCTTAAGATTGGGAATGTGATGGGGTGGGATAAAATAATGATAGCTACCACTTATTTATCTTTTAGATTGTGCTGTAGTGTGCTAAGTCCTTTATATTATGATTTCATTTAATTTTTGTAACAACCCTGTGAGGTAGGTGTTATGCTGTGAAGTTCAGTATTTTACAGAACATTTGACATGAGTGTATTCATTGTATCTTTCCCACTAACTTAATATCTTTTGTGTGTATGTGTGTGTGTGGAACCGGGGATTGAACTCAGGCCCTTGTGCTTGCCAGGGAAGCACTTATTCCACTGAGCCATCTCACCAGCCCAACTGAGCCATCTCCCCGGCCCTTAATACCTTAAAAATATTTTTATTAAGTATTTTAAGCAGATAAAAATAGGAAGTAAACCGGGCATGGTGGAGCACACCTTTAATCCTGGCACTTGGGAGGCTGAGGCAGAAGGATTGCCACAAGTTTAAGGGCTGAACTACATAGTGAGACCTGTCTCAAAAATGTAAAAAAGAGGGGCTGGTGAGATGGCTCAGTGGTCTAGAGCACCTACTTGGAACAAGCTTGGCAAAGCACAGGGACCACGGTTCGATCCCCCGGCCCCACATGCCAGCCAGCCGCGCCCCCTGGTGGGCTGAGCTGGCCACACGCGCGCACGCGCACACACACACACAAATATAAATATAAATAAATAAAAAATAAAAAAAAAAAAAGAGGCCAGGGGTATAGCTCAGTGGCACAACATCTTCCTGGCAAGTGCAAGGTCCTGAGTTCCAATTCCTAGTATCAACAAAAAAAAGTTTAATAATATCTTTATACCCATCTTTATTTTATGTTACTATATTTGTTTGTAACCAAGCACTCCTAAAAGCCAGGCAAGCACTCTCTCACTGAAGTATAACTCCAGTCTTATTTATTTATTTATTTATTTCAAAATCAGGGATTGAACTCAGACCCTTGCACTTGCCAGGGAAGCGCCTATTCCACTGAGCCATCTCCCAGGCCCTCAATTTTTTTTTTTTTTTTTTTCCGGAACCGGGGATTGAACTCAGGCCCTTGTGCTTGCCAGGGAAGCACTTACTCTACTGAGCCATCTCCCCAGCTCCTATTTATTTTTTAAGACAAGGTCTATCTCTGTAATACAGGCTTGCCTTGAGCTCACTGTGTAGCTCAGGCAGACCTCAAACTAGAGTCAATTTTCCTGCCTTAGCCTTCCTAGTGCTGTGATTATAGCTATGTGCCACCATGCCCACCTGGCCTGTTTTAAGAAGCAAAACATAACTAGGCACAGTGATGCATAGCTATAATCCCAACTACTTGGAAGGCAGAGGCAGAAGAATCACAAGTTCAAGGATAGTCTCAGCAATTTAGCAAGCCCTACCTCAATAAAATTTTGCATTATTACTGTTTTTGGTACCAGCAATCGAACTCAGAACCTTGTAGTTGTCAGGCAGGTGCTTATGCTTCTGAGCTATCTCCCCAGCAGTTTCAGAATAAAACTTAAAAAGGGCAAGAGATGAAACTCAGTGTCCTTTGGGTTCAATCCCCATTTTAGTTATCACCTGAAAAGAAGCCAAATAAACTGGGCATCATGACACACAGTTGTAATTCCACCACTCTGGGAAGCTGAAATAGAATCACAAGTTTGAACCTAGCCAGGTAACTAGGTGATTTAGTGATATCTGTCTTAGGAAAAGGAAAAGAAAACAAACACCAGGAATGTAGCTCAGTGTAAATGCCCTTGGTCAGGTCCTTTATTA